AGTGCTGCTGCCTGGAATTCCCTATAGCATTCTCCCACAGGACTCTGAAGATGTTTCGTAAATGGCGCTGTGAGACGGACACAAAGCAGCAGCACTTCTATGAGCTACTGAGGGTTGTTACGCCCAGGCCGGAGCCTCTCGACTCATTTGAAGAGACTTGGATTCTGAGAACCACTGAGCTTGCCACTCAGCTCCTAATCTAGCAGGAAGTGCAGACTGTCCAATGTCTGCAGAGAGTGCTCTGTGTGAGTGGGCAGCAAATAGGTGTTTCTTCCCTTGACCACTAAAGTTGATCCCCTCCCAGCTGCCACTGCAGGAGACCCAGCCTTCATTCCCCAGTTGGCCCAAAGGCTCTGTCTCCCTTTTAACATTAACAACTAAAAAGTCAACAATGGTCTAAGGGACAATGATGTAACCTCTGCAGAAAGACAGGTACAGTACTTGGAATGAGCACCCTCTTGGTGACAGTGAAGGAAGGTATGTTTCTAGCCATGGCTCTGCTGACTCTATGGTAATCTTTGGCTTTGGGGGACAAGGAGCTGCACCTGGAGCACAGTGGCATCAGTCACAGAAAATAGACTGCTGTGGTCCAGATCCAGCCTGGTCTGTCTGGATCAACATCTGTTAAGCTTGACAATTAAGTGGAAAGAAAACTCTAACGCTGAGTTCACAAACATGCCTATCTTGGGTCACCTGTGTGGCGTCAGTGGGCCTTACTGGGAAGTAGCAGCATTCCAGTGTCCAGGTGAACTCAAGCAGGCTGGCCTGGCAATTGCAGACTGACAGAGCTTGTTCAAGAAATACTGTGTACCCTGTGGTATCTGTGATGTGTGGAGAGACATCTGTGGAGGCGCAAGTGAGGTCTTGGCTTAGTGAAGCCTCTTCAGCTAACATAGAGCTTCGGAGCCAGCTGTTAAAGGGTCGTGTGTTGTGTGAAGACCTTGGTCAATTCACTTGGTCAAGCACTTGGGAAGGGGTGCTAGCTTTGGGCATTTTTAATGACACAGTGATACCTGTTCCTAACGCAGAACACTTAATTTAAGTGTTTAGTCTAAGCCTTAAGATAATAACACATCCAGCCGGGCGTTGGTGGCGCACGCCTTTAATCCCAGCACTTGGGAGGCAGAGGCAGGCGGATTTTTGGGAGTTCGAGGCCAGCCTGGTCTACAGTTCGATTGCCAGGATAGGCTCCAAAGCTACACAAAGAAACCCTATGTGGAAAAACCAAAAAAAACAACAACAACAACAACAAACAACAACCAGATAATAACATCCATGTTATTATACATGTTATTATCTGGATCTCACTGAGAAAGTCTTTTCCCATAGTTAGCCATTATTAACAAACCCTGCATGATTTGATGGTTTGCTGTGAATCTGGATGTGTTGTTCATTTGACATAGAACCACACATGTGCACACTGTTGAGATAGGAACTTTGGTACCTACACATTTGGTACCTTTCTCTCCCAAAAGAGCAATAACCCTGGATTTTACATCATGCAATTCTGTTTTCCTTGATAGTTTTGCTATGTCCTTTTTAAACTTAATGTGATTTCACTCTCTTCTGGGTATTCCAAAATAAGTTGTTGCTGTTGAGTTTCATTTGTGCATGCCTGTAATTATTCGCACTTGTGCCATGTCTATCTTATAAAGATGCTACCAAGCATTAAAGGATGCCCTTGCAGATGAACACGTAGATCTCCCCTGCACATTTAATCTGCTGACGTGCACAGGGATTCTCTGGGATGTGGTCTCGGGTGAGGAGCTTCTCCACAACGGCAGTATGCTTGCCTTGTGAGCCCTCCCTGCACCATGCCATGGACAACACTTGGAGTTACCAGATCTTTTTTATTTGATTTGGTGAATGAAAATGAGTGTGCCACAGTGCTTCTCATTTGCACCACCTGACTGATAAGATTATATATTTTCATATGATTATGGACCAAGCGTTACTATTTGTGCTGTCCACCTACTTTCCGGTAATTCATAAATGTCTTTATTATCCACACACTTCCGTGTATCTATGTATCCATCTGTGTTTGGCGCTTGAAATCCCAGAACTGGAGAAGCAGAGACAGGCACATCTCTGGGGTTCACTAACCTGTCAGCTGAGCCTGCTTAGACTCCAGGCCGGCGAGAGGCATGATGGCTGAGGTTGCTCTCTTACCTCCACACGCACATACGTTAATGTGCACACACAGGGAGGGAGAAAGGAGGTGGTCCAAACATGTATTAGAAGGACAGGTGTGAACGTGAACACAGTGACAGGTGTCATGGTTCCAACGGCTGGACTACAATGGTAGGTGACGCTATGTCTCAGGAAGAAGATTGTGCTCCTGGCCCCACCCTGAGTCCAGATCACTGCCTTTCCCTTCTATTTCTAATTCCATTTCCCCATTAGAACTGATGGGTCGGAGATAAGGTGGCCTCATTCTTGTTCTCTCATCACTGCACCAGGAGCAGCCAGGCCATCATGGGGCTGTCCTGCAGTCCTGCTGCTTACTCTGAGGGTACCCTCCATTCTCTGAGAACCAGCATAGCTGCAGAATCCTGCCCCAGTTTCAAAGGTGTTGACTTTCCCTCCAACCCTGGTTCAGCACTCAAGATTAGAGGAACCAAAATGAAAAGCAGCCTCCCTGCCGGGCTCCACAGTGGTTGCCTCTTGTATTTTCCCATGGAGAGCCTTTCTTGGAGCTCTCAAACTTTCTCCCATCCCCTTCAAGTCACATCTTAATAAAAAGCCTCCCAAAAATTGATCTGTGTGATGTGTGGGCGCAAATCCCCATGACCTTATAACTGTAACCCTTTGGTACACTGGTCTAGAGAAAATATTACAGCCACCTCTCCCCAGGGGACATTTAGCAACATCTGGAGACATTTTTGGTTGTACAGTCGATGGTTGTAGAGGGTTGTTGGCCAGAGATGTTGCTAAACATCTTACAATGTGCAGGAGAATCACCCAGGCACAAATGTCAGCAGTGGTCAGACAGACAAACCCCAATCCTTCTCCATCATACTAGTCAGGAGAGAAAATCACAGTCCCTGACTTCCCTTTGGGGACTCCCAATGGCACGGCCCTTCCTATGGAGGTGGCTTCTCTGACATATTGATAAACAGATAAACATTGACAATCTCTCTGCTCATAGGAGAAGAGGCTGAAGATCTTGCAACTGAGTCAAGCACTTTGTCTTCAGAGGGCTCTATTTATGATCTGAATGCCAGTTCATGTGACAATCTGCAACATGGTGACAAACCATGGATGCTATGGATAATAACAAAGACTCTTGTAAACACTATGTACTTATTATTATTTGTATTAAGTAATACTAAATAATATTGTCTTCTGGTGATCAGATTTCACTCAGTCACAAACCCTATTTGCCTTGCAGGTGCAGGCTCAGTGCTGCCTGCACAGTGACCCTGAGCCTGTGCACTTAGACCTGGAATCTAAAGCTCACCAGGTGGATGTTCACAAAAATGCAGGATCCTGGCATCCCTTCTTGAGGTCCCCTCTGACTGCACAGTCACGGTGGACCCTGAGAGTCTGTGTTTTTAGCCAGCAATAGAGGCTGCTCTACCACAAGCTATCCAGGGACCTGTAAGAACCACTGGTAGAAATCACAAAACACTCTCAGCCTAACCTTGTGGTGATTTTCTGTATCTCTGAAAAAAAAAAAATCTAGCATTATTCTCTCAGGCTTCCCACTTTTAGCTGAAACATGGATGGTGAGGGAACAGGATACCTTTACACAAGAGAGGTAGGACATTTACACAGGGACCGAGTCATGGACATTTTACCTTAAAATTGGATTTGGGTAACTTAGAATGAACATTAGACACAGATGTTTATGTGGACAGAAGACAGAGCTCTTGCCTGCTCCTCAAAATGGACCTCAGCACACAATGCCAGTTTTGTTTGTTGATGTGGTCTCCACCAAGATAAACGGCTCCTCTGGTTACTTTCAGTTTAAGTTCAAAGCCTTTTTCTGACCTGTTTCCCATCTGTGAGTTTTCAATGGACCACTTATTTTAATACACCAACAACCATGAACCGTTCAGCTTAAACTTTCCTCCAAGCAAAATCCTTCCAAGCTGTTGCAAGACCTCAACACTAATGTCTAGAATCAAGAAGTTATCTCACTATGTAGATGGTGTGTGTGTGTGTGTGTGTGTGTGTGTGTGTGTGTGTGTAAAACATAGTTGATCACTTTTAGACCAATTTCTTCATCAATTTAAGAATAAAATTTAATAATAAAGGAAATATCAGGTTACACAAAACATGTCAATAATCCCAGCACTGAGGCAAAACAGATGGGATCTCTGTGAATTTGAATTTCTATAACAAATTTCAGCCAACTAGAACTACATAGCAAGACCCTGTCTCAAAAAACGAACAACAAAAAAGATAATAACAAGCAATAGATTCGAACCAATGTGTTGTCATTTTCATTAGAGGAAAATGGTATGAATTTGAGGGGCAGAACAAATCAGAATTATCCTTGCTAACTAACTAAAGTCTGTCTTTTTCAACTCTCCTGAGCTCTCCCACGTTCTGTTCTTCTAGAATACTGTCCTTATACTTCAGAAGTCTATATGCTCTCACCTAGTTCTTCCTGTCTGCTTTTTACTAACAGTAACCCCTAGTTGGCCCCTTGGCTCGCAAACGTGACACTCACTTAAATTCACACATGGATGAATCACTTCAAAATACTCCAATCTCTGTGCTCTTACTGAAAGCCATTCAACAGATAGATGACTTTCCAAGCCAGAAACAACTCTCCAGAAACCAAAGTTCCCTTGATCCACGAACGCCATCTCCCGACAGGAAAGCCCCCTCCCAGCACATTTAAACTTTAGTCAGCACATCAGTCTGGATGCAAATTTCTGCCCAGCTCAGTATTATGCTTTTATTAACTGAGCTCCCACAGCCCGGCATGCAAATAGTGGGTGCTCAAGCAAAAGCACCCCCGGAGGAAAAGACCTGGACCCTGACCTTACCTATTTTTGCAGCCTCTGCTTTCAAGTTGAAATCCCAGGTCCTTGGCAACTTGAGGGACATGTTGCTTTCGATTTGGGTGAGTAGCGGCCAGTGTGTAACAGTCTGTGCCCTTCTTGCTGTTCTGATCTTCCCTTCGGTTCGTCTGTCTTCTCTGCTGGGTGATTGCTTCAGGGGCACTCTTACGTGCCAGGCTGATCTGCCCACGTGCCTCTTCCTTTCCCTCAGACGAAAGGTCCACCCATCTGTCACTTGAGGATGGCACCCAAGCTCCCCTAATCCCACCCACAGTCCCCCGGGGGTTGGCACCCTGCTTTGCGTTCAATTTCTACCAGAAATATCCCAGTTGACACTTGGCCTTGTGGGAAGCAGAGCCCCTGCTCGGAAGAATCTCAGGCCTCACTGAAGCGAAGTTGTGATAAACAACAGCCACTGCTTTTTTTTTTTTTTTTTTTTTTTTTAACTGTCTGCTTCCTTGCGTTTTGAGGAAGTGGGTGACTGTTCAGCATTGTGGCGTTATGAGCACACTTTCTTCACAAGACTTTTAGAAAATATTTTTTTTGCAAAGCTAGAGCATGTTTGTGACATAAGGCTGTGGTTTTAATTTAAAAAGAAAGAGAATCCCAGGGCTCTTACCATGTGCCTTGACTCCTGTGCTCTCCTCTTCCTTGCCTCAAACAATCAGCTTCTAAAATAGGTCAGGCAGGCAGCCAGCTTTCTGCCCAGGTTACCTTCTTTCCAATTCTTGTTGTTGTAAGGGTCACATAACTCTTACCTGCTTGGGATAAAGGTTCCTAGTGACCTCCACCTGATGCATGGAGAGTTTGGATGCACTCTGCTGGTAAGTTGGTTCCAGCTAGGCAGGGCCACAAAAAGGGTCATTGCTTCTTCCACTTTGTGCACACGGTGTGGTATTTACAAGCAGACCAACAGTTAAAAACCCAGGATTTCCTTTCCCTCTGAAAGAATCTTCCTGGGCCTCCTTCTTCAGAAAAATGGGCCCCTTGACGACTGTGGGTGTAGAGGTGTTGCAGAGGCCTCTGGTTCAGATTTTTGGCACACAGTAGTCACCCCACAAACACAAATTCAACCTTCATTCTGCCTAGCTCAGCTTGTGGTGGGCCTTTACATCTCTAACTGGGTCAGCTTAACATAGCAGCTAAGCTTCCAGGCCCAAGAAACAAACTGCTATGTTCAAATCCTAGCTTTACCATTTTCTTGCTGTGCGACTTCGGGTCTGTTCCTTGACTGTTTCCTGTTTCAGGGCCTTCCTCTGTACATGCAGCAATTAACAGAGGGACTTCACAGGGCTACGGTGCAGGTTTCTGCCGACACGGGCCTCTCTGCATGCACACCACACATCCAGGCCCATTCACTTCATGTCCCCCGGACAATGCTGAGTGCATTTTCCTCATCTCTTACATGGATTCTCCTGATGAGCCAGCTTCCGGCTCCCTGTTACATGAACCACCTCCCCTCTCCCCCAGCTCAACTTCATCACCTCTTCCTTCTTTCTCTTGGATCTTCTCATCAATATTAACCTTACAACATCTTTTTTTTACATCTTCAAGAAACTCTCTTGACGCCCGTCCTCCTTTGGCCATAGCCTGATTTTGAGAATTTGTTTTTTAATAAGGACTGTTGAACTTGCTGTTATCTCTCCTCTTCCTGTTTCCTGGATTCCTCCTTTGAAGCTCTTGCCCCCGGGACCCCAGAGAATGGCTTCTCAGGAACACCAATGGCTTTTCTGTCACTAAACTGGCAGGCCAGGTCTCTACCTCACCTTGCTGGCCTACCAGCCAGCTGGACATGAGTGGCCGCTGATACTTTGGACAGCTCTGAACGCCCTCTCTATCCGCCCTTCAGTGGTTGCTGGCTTTTCTGTCTCCTTTCCTTTTGCTCTGTTTCTGGCACCTCTCTAATTCCTTCTTGTGTCTCTAGTCTGTAAATCATGATTCCATCATCGGACTCCTTCTCCGTCTTTATCATCTTGACAAGCGTGGCAACCCTAAGACTTTAGCTACCCCACATGTATAACAACCCCTCTGTGTGTTTTCAGAATAGGCCACTTTTGAATTCCAAATTATGTACATCTTTGCTTAGATCTCCAAGAGGCAACACAGACTAGTCCAAAGTCAATATCCAAGGACTGACAATGGTGACCCAGAGTGTGTCCTTCTCACTGGGAACTAAAGGAGTATATGAGCCAATAAATGTATTTCAGGCCTCTGTGCTCATCTTGTCTGCTTATGTTCCACTGGCCTACCCAAGTCACATGAACAAGCGCAAAGTCATTGGGACAGGAAGTACACATAGCACTTGGAGGAAAGGGACTACCCCACTTACCTGGCGGCCACCCAGGACCACAGGGGTGCTGGGCTCCCTAACTTTGCTTCTGGCTCTTGAGGACTTTGGAGTCCCAGATCTACACTGCTTCCTGCCTGACCCAACACACACCGTTCCTTATGCAGCCCTAAAAAAGCTGGCAGTCCTCCTGAGCACCATTCCAGGCAGCTCCAAAGGGAACTTCACATCTGAAGTTTCAATCCTGGGACCTTTAACTTAGGAATTCTGGAGGAGGCATTTTCGAGGCACATGGGGAACTTCCTGGACTCTTCGGTGTGAGTTCCTGTGAGTCTTGGAAAAACATATGACCCATGGGGAAGTCGCTGTACACACTCAGAAAGTCAATCAGCAAAAGCAGCCGCCACAGAGACACTGCTCATGGCAGCCACAGAAGCAGACGCCTGTGTCAGCTTCTTCTGAGTGGGGATAGCCTCTGCTGCTGCACCTTCTCTGACCTTTAGAAGATGAAGAGCCAGATGTCTTGGTTAATAGTAGCACCAGCAATAGTGAGAGCAAACATCCGTGCATTTGTTCATTAGCCCTAACCATTCCTTAAGAACTTAAGCATTTGCTGGAGGAAATCATGAACAAGCAGCTTGGTCTCTGCCTCTCTCCTCCATCTCTCTTCTCCCACATCCCAGATGCAGCTAACAGGAAGGAGAAGGCCAGTTGAGTGAACAGCTAAATATAACACGAGAAGGGATATGATGGGGAAGTACAAGGGACTGAGAAAGTTTATGTGGGAGGGGCATGAGTGGGACCCACAGAATGGGGGAAGGCTTCCTGAAGCATCTTTCTCACTCTGACTTGGCAAATGTGTAAGGGAGATGAGAAACTTTCAAAAAGGACCAGCTGTGGCGGTTCGCGCCTGTATTCTGAGCACTGAGGCTGAGGTAGGCAGACTGCCCTGAATTTAAGAGCAGCCTGCACTACGGAGATAGATTTCTTCACAAACAAAAAAAAGAAAGAAAGAAAAGAAAAGGAGGGAGGTGGAGGGGAGAGGGACTGAGCGTTTTAAAAAGCACTCTAGAACAGCAAATGCACCTGTAGAGAAAGAACTCCTTCCCCTCTGCTTGCTCCTGAGGGTCTGTGAAGTCTGAAAGGAGTGAGCTAGAGGGGCTGCTGTAGGCAGGACCAGAAGGCTTTGGTGAAGTTTTGACTTCTTCCAGGTAACCGAGAATCAGCAAGGAGTCTTCTTCAGCTCAGCAGAGTGAGGAGATCGAACTCAACATCCCAAGTACGGGAAAGAGTGAGGGAGAGAGGTCCACTCAAGGAAAGAAGGGAAAACACAGGGAGCCTATGATGGAAATGAGAACCCTGGAGATTGTTACACAAGAAGAGGAGACGTCCTGACCCTGACTCAGGTGATTGGGAGTGACTGGGGGTGACTGGAGGTGACTGGGGTGGTGGCAGTTACTGCCACAGAGAGGGGATGTGCACAAAAAGAATGAAGCTTGATGTGGGGTCAGGGGTCAGGAACTGTCGACCTGGTGCCGTTATAGGCACAGACGTGGTACTCTCATAGGGGACGGTGGAGACGGGGGTGGCCAGGTCTCCTTGGGGACCAAGGTAGCTTTCCCTGGAAATTAGACCACAAAAGTAGTAAGGAAGCAATGGGGCAGGAAGGATGACATTGTCTACAAAAGGAACCGCAGTGTCCATTAAAATGTGTCTCCCACCATGTGCAGTCAGGGAAGAATCACGAATGGTGAGAGGAACGGGTAGCCAGAGCACACAGGGAGACCTCAGGCATTTGCTGAGGAACTAGACTACTTTTTTTTTTTTTAGAGGCAGGGGTAGAAAGGCCTCACTGTGCAACTTTGGCTGACCTAGAGCTCACTGTATAGACCAGGCCTGCTTCCAGCTCACAGAGATCCACCTTCCTCTGTCTCCCAAGTGTCAGGATTAAAGGCAGTGGTCACCATGCCCAACAAGGTAACAAAACCTTCAAACATGCCATGCCTTTCACTATGGTTACAGATTCCCACGACATTTTAAAGAAGTATAACAAAAATGGCTGTTTAAGTTTCGTGAGTATAGCGGTTCCTCTTGACAGAATATAATGCCCCTGCATAGTCCTGAAACTTCAGATAGTATTAATTCCTTCATATGGTGTGTTTTAATTCTCTACATGCAAGCTTACAGTAAGGTCTAGTTTATGAATGAGGCATGATGAAAGTTAGCAACCACCCCTAGCTATTAGGATAGGGCAATCATGACAGAGGCATCACCACTCCTATGTTCAGGCGCATTATTAACGATTGACAGCAACTTGAACACTGCATGGAGAGCCACAGCTGACGGAAACAGCCAAGCTGACCTGGTGGGTCACTAATGTAGCCAAACCCTCACACTCCTGGGAGGCGGGGCCAAGGGCCCCTGTAAACACGCTGCACTGCTGTTTTCTTTAAGATACATGTGAAAAAGGTGAACGCTCCATGTCTGCATCTCACCCCAAAAGTGAGCAAATGTAGCCTGAGGCAAATAAAGTAGGATCACATACATGTCAACGCATTGCCCCAGCTTGTTTGTATTTCACTCCTAGCTCCTGCAGAGACTAGAGGCAGCCCCTGTGTTGTGGGGACTTTGAACATCGAGGGTCATAACTATAGAGCCAAGGCTGTGTGTTGGGGGCTAACAGCTGATCTGGCCACCTTGAATTACAGACTGCACAGCATTTGTCTTCTGAACTGCGTTGGAAACATCAAAACCAAGGCTTTTTCCATTTGGATTTTAACAGACTGGCTTTAAGAAAGCTATGATTCTAAGGTAGGAGGTTCTAGGTTTTTATTCCCTTTCCCTTGGCTATATGAAAAAAAAAAAAAAACAGAAAACAAGAACAAAAACTCACCATGTTGCAGAGGGAGACCTCTGCCTTCTGAACACTGACCACCAGGATTAGACTCCTCGGCTCTACCACAGAGCCTGCCCCCCCCACCCATCTTCTGTCTCATCACTGATTGCCACTATTTCCCTGGCTTTGGGTCTAATGGCTGATCAGTTTTGTGGCCTATTAAACTCTAGTTTATCTAACTAATTCTTAGCCAAGAAAAACTATATGTGGAGGTCTGAAGGGCAACACTAGCATTTCTGCCTCTGATATGATAGTCTTCTAGAAGAAGGTTGCTCTGTGGACCACAGGGTTAGGGAAAGACATGCCTATTTAAATGAATAATTTGATACCAGATTAAAAACAGATCTTGACATTCTGACATGACGAAAATGCCCCTGCTGCACAGCTCTCTTGAACCAATTTTTATGGGTTCATTGTATTAGGCCAAGCTACACAAAACTGCCAATATTCAACAGCTTTTGACCTGCAATTTTTTTCCTCAAAATTTGGAATGGCTCAATGGGATTGGGCTGTCTGCGATTCATTCATACCACAAATATGAAGTGATGTTTCCCATGTGGTTCCACAGGTGCCCACCGGGTGCTGAGAACACAGCCAACAGCAAGAGGATCAAAGCCTCATGCTTCCGGGAGGCTTGTTGTAGTGAGAGGTAACAGGTAATGAATCAAATAACTGAGTATGGTGTATTAGCCAGTGGGGAGTGCTGCAGGAGAGCAGACGTGCTGGTGAGGAGGAGAGTCTTGTCAGATTGGTGGGAAAGGAAGCAAGATGGTATTTTTAAGTAGCTGGGTGATGAAGTCTACATTGATACGACAGCATTGCAGGAAAGACCTGAAGAAAATGAAAATGAGACAGGTACATACTCGGATGAGCCTTCTGGCACAGCAAAGGGCAAACAAAGGAGTGAGTATTCTAAAGAGGTGGGTATGAACTGTTGTATTCCAGGGCAATAGGGAAACCAGCCATGTGTCTGGAAAAGAGAAATGGGAAGACTTGTTATCAGTCATCTTTCACTCTGGTGGGTCTACCATTGCCTTCTCTGTGCTTGGCTGGGCAATGTCTTAGTTAGGATTTCTATTGTTCTGAAGAGACACCATGACCATGACAAATCTTATAGAGAGAAGATATTTAATTGGGGCTGGCTTACAGTTTCAGAGGTTTAGTCTATTATTGCCGTGGGAGGAAGCATGGTAGCATGCAGGTAGACATGATGCTGGAGAGGTAGCTGAGAGTTCTACATCTAGATCATCAGGCAACAGGAAGACAGAGTGACATTGTGCCTGGCTTGAGCATCTGAAACCTCAAAGCCAGTCCTCAGTGACACACTTTCTCCAACAAGGTAGCACCTACTCCAACAAGGCTATATACCCCCTATGAGTCTGTGGGACCCATTTTCATTCAAACCATGACAGGCAACATCCATTTCACAGTGGCACACCTTGGTACAACAAATAGTACCAGTCATTAAATGGGCTGGGACCATGGGGGGTAGAGAACCAGCCTGTATCTGTGGATTCTTGCCTTTCATCTATGAATTCAAGGCTATGTTCCAAGAGAAGCAAAGGATTAGAAAAGCATTTGGAATCACAAAAACCTAAGGAGGCTTTAGATGCATCAGCCATCATAGAACACCCAAACCACAGACTACAAAGACCTGCAGAGTCCCTGCTGAGATCAACACAATAAAATGACTGCAAGAGCCACAAGGAGTCTGATTGGCAGAGTTGTGGATTGTGATTGGTTCCACGGGGCATCTTCTACTTATTCTTCATCCCTTCTGGGACATCAACAATGCTTGTAAACATGCATTGACATTGCCCCCTCAAGAAGAAATACACAACTATCATGGCTGGAGTCCCTCTGGTGAAGCCCAGACCAAAAATTCCGTTCCCTGGCTTGGAGAGTAAGGCCTCTCTGTCTGCTAGCCTGCTGAGGGTGTCTGCACTGAGTTATGTCTGCCCTCATAATGTTTGCACAGTGCTTTGCAAAGTTGTACTTGAGCACCCTTGACCCCACGGGTGATCTGGAAAGGTTGGGAGTTTAGAAACCTGAGCTAGAATGAGAAATCAGAGACCAGGAGTCCAAGAACAGACTTCTAGGACTCCAACCCTTTTCCCTCAGCTTCTGTCCCTCATGGCACAGGAATGCTGGCTAACCTTTCTAAGCTTTACTATTTTCTTGTGCAACAGTGAATTGATTGGCTCATAGAACTGCATGCGGTTCTCAACCCGTGGGTCATGACCCTCTTGGGGCTCAAACAGCCTTTTCACGGGGGTAATGTAAGACCATCCAAAAACACAGATATTTGCCTTATAATTCATAACAATAGCAAAATTACAGTCATGAGTAGCAACAAAAGTAATTTTATGGTTGGGGTCACCACACCATGAGGAACTGTATTAAAGGGTCATTGCATTAGGAAGGTTGAGAACCACTGGCTTAGTGCTCCTTGGGTCACGTGAGATATTCAGTGCAAAGTACTAAATACAGTCTCTGGCATATTAACAGGTTCTAAATGTAGATAAGAAAACAATACCCATTGGTAAAATTATGAATCACGAAGATCCCTTCAAGCTCCCTTGTATGTGACTTCCTCTCTAGCAAGCTACAGTGTACCATCTCTGCTCCAACTGGAGGAATACAGTCTGCCCTTCCTTTTTCCCACCAAAGCCACCCTGAACCAGCTGCAGAAGGACATATATAGGAAAGAGGAAGGGCGCTGGCTGTTCACAAAGCGCTGTAGTGCTGAGGTGCTCAGGCGGTGGCTACTTCTAGACCACAAACCACTGGTGTGGTTTAAGGCTCCCCTCTTTGCCTGCCCAATGGTCTAGCTCATGTGCAGACAATGACATACCCAACTTGATTTAGTTATAGGGTAAGAGGATATGGAATGTCAGGAAAGTGAAAGTCAAACCCTGGCAGAGACGGGAAAGAGACCTGAGCTTCAGAAATGCAAGCCTGAAACCCTGTCTCCCTCGGGCTCCATGGTGGGGAGATCCAGTGCAATGTTTGGAGAACTGAAATTCTGTTTTAACGAAGGGTCTCATGTGGCCTAAGTTGGCTTTGAACTTCCTATGTAGTTGAAGGTGATGCTGAAATTCTGATCCTCCTGCCTCACCCTCACAAGTGCTGGGATTGCGGGTGTGCAGCACCAGTTCCAGTTTAGGTGGGGCTGAGTCTTGAACCCAGAGCCTTGTGCTGCTACATGAGCAGTGGACCAACTAAGCTATCTCCTCAGTCTCTGGAGAGCTATGTTTTGTGGGTTTTGTTTTTGCTTTTTGTTTTTGGCTTTTGTTGTTGTTTTTGTTTGTTTAAGATTTTGTTCGTGTGTGTGTGTGTGTGTGTGTGTGTGTGTGTGTTGTGTGTCTGTGTCTGTGTGTGTCTGTGTCTGTGTCTGTGTGTGTGTGTATGTGTTTTGCCTACACACACATGTCCACTGCCCTTAAACGCCAGAAGAGGGTAATGAGAGCCCCTAGAACCAGAGTTACAGACAGTTGCAAGTCACCATGTAGGTTCTGGGAACAGCACCCTAGCCTTCTGCAAGAACAGCAGATGCTCTCAGCTCATGAACCATGTCTCCAACCCAAAAACTATGTTACAGAGACAAATCTGGACTGTTCAGCACCAACTTCGCTGTCCTGAGGTCATGAGATTCACAGCCAAGCTCTGCTGGAAGAACAGGAAGTGGCAGCAGCTGATTCCAGAGCCGATATGAAACTCTGAGGTTCCAGTTGAGTAACTACACACAGGACAGACCTGCTGGGGGAGGGAGGGAGAGCAGGAGCAGGGAATTTCACATGCTGGCAGGGACAGTGCACTGGCTTCACAGACACTCAGCTGCCTTTCCCCTCTTACAGATACTGTTCCTCCTGCTTTGCAGAACCACGTGGGACAGAGGTGCAATTTGTTTATAGGTCAGGTCAGAAATCTGTAATTTGTTGGAAAGTTTTAGGGACCCCTAAAAATAAATAACCTGATCCCTGAAACATACAATATGCAATACAATCTGAAAGGAAAGGAATTAGTTTGTGATTGTTAGCTTTGATGGTAAAAAGAGAAAATGCTTTTTTGTCATTTTGATAAAAGAATCCCACCACAGTTTATCCATTATGCAAAAGGCTTTGCTTATGAAATTTGAAGTAACCATAAAATTGAAACTCATGCTCATCTTCATTTGAAACACAACTATTTCCTCTGTGAACCCTGAGTTGCATTAGCTAAAATTGCTCCCAAGAAGTTTCATGAGTGGGTCTAGATAGTTGTGCTTGAGCAAGAGGGGGAAAATAGCAGTGAGGCTGTTAATCCACAAAAGAATTTGAAGGGGCTGCAAGGATAAGTCATTTGATACAGTGCTTGCCACACAGGCATGAGAACCGGAGTCCAACCCTCCAGAACCATGTGCAAAGCTAGGAGAAGTGGTGTACACTTACAGACCCAGCCCTGGGGAGGCAGAGACAGATAGATCTCTGGGGCTCAGTGGTCAGCCAGTCAATCCTGCCTGAAGAGCTGCAGGCTAGTAAAAGACACTGTCTCAAAAACCAAAACAGCTCTTAGGAACAACTCCCATGCTGCCCTCTTCATTTTTATGTAGTTCATGTTCCCAGCCCAGGAAATAGTGCGGTCCACACAGGGGAGAGCTTCTCATCTCAATTAACCTGGTCAAAATAACCTTCCACAGAGAATTTTAGGAGTTTGTCGGGAACCAGGAAAAGACACACATCACACACACACACACACACACACACACACACACACACACACACTGATAATGATGATGAGTTCACAGCATGGTGGGGGCCTTGCAGACATGAGTAATCCAAGGATCCTGTGATGGCAACACTCCCCTGGATTATGCTCTGCGTGCTGATTGTAATTTTAAGTATCCCAAAGGGAAGCGGGATGTCTGACTGTGGAAGCACGAGGCGTGAGACAGAGCAGAGGTCCCCTTGATGCCAAGAAGGAGCAAGAAGGCAAGGAGTGTACAGACTCTAGCCCTGACAATGGTAAGGAAGTACATCTCCCCTCGTGCTCTCCAGAGGAAATCAGCCCCCAGTGACACCTCACTTTAGCCTAGTGAGACTAATTTTGAACATCCAAATTCCAAACCTACCAGAGAATAAAGCTGTGGCCTGAGACATTCAATTTTTGTGATTTTTGTTGTAGCAGCAGGAAGAGGCTCATACAATGTTATAAGACTGACTTGCTTCAAGGGTCCTATGGCAATTCCCAACAAAACTCTTTTCCTCTATTTATGACATATTTGCCTTGTGCCAAACTCAAAAGTTGGTGAGTCTATCAAGGAGGAAGCCACAGAGTGAGAAGTGAAATTCTCAGCTATGTTTGAACAAGAAACATCCTCTATAGACTCACTCGGTCCCCAGTTCTTGGCGCTGTTGGATGCAGCTATGAATTTTTAGAACTTGATGTTTTACTAGAGGAAGTGGGGAGAAGAGGGCTTTGAGAATGCATACTTCACCCCACCCACCTACTTCTAGTTTGTTCTCTCTGTTTCCTGTGTGCAGATGAAATATAACTTGTTCCCACTCCTACCTGCTGTCAGGCCTTCCTTGCCATTGTGGACTCTGACCCTCCTAGAACCATAAGCCAAAATAAACCTTCCTTAAGTTGCTGTTGGTCATGGCATTTTATCATAGCATCAGAAAAGTAACTGATGCCCAGACCCTATGCCAATGCTTCTCTGTGCATCTGAACCACGAGGCTTCTTGTTTAATAATGAAAATTCCATTTCAAGAAAACTGAGTACAACCCATGAATCATTATGTCCCAAATGGCATGGTGTTAGGTGCCCAGACATTAGTAACCAGGCTCCAGAGGGACCCCCCAACTGCACTGAAGAGATTCCATCTATCAGATCTTTCCTTTAAGTTCACAGCTCTCCTCTGTAGAGCTTTTAGACAGATGTCAGGCTGTACTCACAGCTAGTAGCTTGCTATTCGCTTCTATTCCCATCAGATGAACTGCATGGATTACCTAAATGAACTTAGTAGTATCTGGTCCCCAGCTAATGCTTCCCTGGGTGAAATAAATTACTCAGCATTCTAATTATATGATTAACCAGATCTCTTAAGCCAGTGAACACGAATGCAAAGAAGAAAATGGGACTCTTTCAATGAAGTCTAAGGTAATGGCTCTAG